CTGAGCGGTGGAGAGAAGACGGACAGGTCAAGGAGGCGGGGATGGAGGGAGGAGCTGGTCTTGGGATGAGGTTGGGGGTGGGGAAATTTTGAAGCTTGTAAAGTCCACATTGAGACCATTGAGCTGCAGGGTTCCCAGGCGGAATATGAGGTGCTGTTCCTGCAACCTTCGGGTGGCATTGTCGTGGCAGTGGAGGAGGCCCAGGATGGACATGTCGTCCAAGGAGTAGGAGGGGGAGTTGAAGTGATTCGTGACTGGGAGGTGTTGTCGTTTGTCACGAACCGAGCATAGGTGCTCCACAAAGCGGTCTCCAAGCCTCCGCTTGGTCTCCCCGATGTAGAGGAGGCCACAACGGGAACAGCGGATACAGTATACCACATTAGCAGATGTGCAGGTGAACATCTGTTTGATGTGGAAAGGCTTCTTGGAGCCTGGGATGGGGGTGAGGGGGGAGGTGTAGGGGCAGGTGTAGCACTCCCTGCGGTTGCAGGGAAAAGTGCCAGGGGTGGTAGAGCTAGTGGGGAGTGTGGAGCGGACAAGGGAGTCACGGAGAGAGCGGTCCTCCGGAAGACAGATAAGGGTGGGGAGGGAAATATATCCTTGGTAGTGGGGTCAGATTGCAGGTGATGTAATTGGCAGAGAATGATGCGTTGAATCCGGAGGTTGATGGAGTGATACGTGAGAACAAAGGGAATTCTTTCTTTGTTGTTATTGGAGGGAGGGGGTGTGAGGGATGAGTTGCGGAAAATGCGATAGACACGGTCGAGGGTGTTTTCGACCACGGTCCTTGAAAAACGAGGACGAGGACATCTGAGATGTTTGGGAGTGGAATGCCTCAGCCTGGGAGCAGATGCGGCGGAGGTGAACGAATTGGGAATAGGGGATAGGGGATGGCATTTTTGCAGGAAGGTGGGTGGGAGGAGGTGTATTCTAGGTAGCTGTGGGAGTCGGTAGGCTTGAAATGGATATCGGTTTCCAGGTGGTTGCCAGAGATGGAAACAGAGAGGTCCAGGAAGGAGAGAGAGGTATCAGAGAAGGTCCAGGTGAACTTAAGGTTGGGGTGGAAGGTGTTGGTGAAGTGGATGAACTGTTCGAGCTCCTCATGGGAGCACGAGGCGGCGCCGATACAATCATCGATGTAACGGAGGAAGAGGTGGGATAGGGCCAATGTAGCTTTGGAAGAGGGATTGTTCCACGTATCCTACAAAGAGGCAGGCATAGCTTGGGCCCATGTGGGTACCCATGGCCACCCCTTGTGTCTGTAGGAAGTGGGAGGAATTGAAAGAGAAGTTGTTGAGGGTGAGGACGAGTTCGGTTAGGCGGATAAGAGTGTCAGTGGAGGGGGACTGGTCGGGCCTGCGGAACAGGAAGAAGCGGAGGGCCTTTAGGCCATCTGTATGGGGAATGCAGGTGTATAGGGACTGGACGTCCATGGTAAAGATAATGTGTTGAGGGCCAGGGAATCGGAAGTTTTGGAGGAGGTGGAGGGCGTGGGTGGTGTCACTGACGTAGGTGGGGAGTTCCTGGACCAAGGGGGAGAAAATAGGTGATTAGTCAGGGTCATATTGAATGGTTAGCCATGATCATATTATACGGCAGAGTAGGCTCAAAGGGCTGAATGCCTTGCGTCTGCTCCTATTTTATGTGCTTCTCTGTTTTCAGGTTTGCTCTGCGGCAACTCCCCTACACAATGCTGGTTGAATTTTAGCAGTGGTGGAATGAGGGCCTTCAGTAGGTGTTAACTACCCACCTGAAGCCCTCAATATGGGTGAAGGTTGTCACAAGCTGTAGGGTGCTGTCAAAAGTATCTTTGTTGTTTCAGAACAAGTGCCATCCCTTGGGTGAGTTTGGTGGTGAGAGACATCTAATCAAGTATGAGGATAGTGGATGGGATCCCCGCCGACTTTCTGCCTCTGCCCTGATTAGATCCAGGGCAGAAAGGCTCAGAGGCAGCCTTCCCGCCCTACTGCTATTTGAGACATTTAAGTGGATGATAAATCTTTCAATCTGATTCTGCTGGTATTTAGGCCAGTGGCAGATGGGTTCCTTCCTTTGACAGGATCTGGAAAGGCAAACCCTGTTGAAGCCTGTTTGCAAGACCAGCATCACGAAGGGTAGGATTGGGAGGGTCCAGTTGCAACCTTACCACACCCCTGTTATCACTCACCTATGCCTAAGTATAATTCTGGGTCTTGGGTCAGTACGTGGCTGGCAGTAGCTACTGCCTCACAATGCTGCTGAGCAATGCAGTGCTGCTGGCCTCTGAACAGCAGCTCTTTTGTGCGGAATTTCAGCCCTCAGGGTCCTTTATCCTGGGAAAGGCTTGTCGCTGCCCAGTTACCTGCTTGATCGCACGTAATGTGGCAGCATTCCCAAAAGTAGGCAACGTGCAGTTCTCTAGGGTTTCCAGTTGACTGGCTAGATCCTTGTCGCCAACGTTAAATGCTGCTCATTATTTCTTGATTTAACCCATGCATGCACAAATGTGGGTCAGAATGCAAATGTCAGCCAATAAAGAAAGACAAATTCTGTCTGCAAACAATGTCAAGACCATTAACCAAGGTATCAAAGATAATGAATAATAATGATGAAATGAGAGACATTTTGCTGAAGCTTTTCATCTTGCACTCATCAGGTTAAATGCATTCATCGCCCAAATTCTTGTGAGGTGCCTTCTCTCAGTTCCTGAGGAAATCCTTCCTGAAAGCTAGTGTGGCTTCCAACCAAACCATTGAACTATGGGAATAATTTTCACTGCTCAGCAACTCCAAGAGAAGTCCCAGGAACAAAACCAACCTCTCTATGTGCCCTTCGTTGATCTGACCAAGGCTTTTGACTTAATCAGGAAGTGCTATAGAAGGCCTATGAAAGGCCAACTGTCCAGTGAAATTCATCAACATCCTCCATCCCCTACTCAAGATGTTGGCAATGGTCCCACCAATGGTTTATATGACAGAATCCTGAGGTCAACAGAGAGGTCAAGCACAAATGTATCATTACTCCCACCCTTTTCTCCATCTTCATTACCACCATTCTCCATCTTGTCAAAACAAGCTTCCCAGCGGTGTGGACATTGTCTACAAGATGGATGGAAAACTTTTCAACCTCAACCAGTTGCAACCAAGAAGAAAATGACACCAACTTCACTTGTGGAACTTCAGCATGTAGATGACAATGTCATCTCTGCTGTCTCGGAAGAAAGTCTTCAAGCCTCACGTAACACCTGCGCGGAAGCATACTGAAGAAATAGCCTTAGCCTCAACCTCAAAATGACTCAAATCCTTTGCCGACCCGTCCCAGGCCAAGTTCCAGACCATTCCTCCAAGAAATTAATGGAAAGATCTTCCCAAATGTGAAACATTTCCCTTACCTGGCTAACTGTCATCTAAGGCTGACATCAATGTGGAGATTCAACATGGCATCCAATCTGTGAGTACTGCCTTCAGATGCCTAAGGATAAGAGTCTTCGATGACTGTGATGTCTGTACTGATACCAAGATTTTTATGTATAAGGCAATCATCCTTCTGACTCTTCTATATGGGTCCAAAAGTTGAGCTGTGTATAGACGCCATGTCAAGACCCTTGAGAAGTACCATTAACCCATCAACACTGTTTGAGAAGGTTTCTCCACATCAGCTGGGAGGACAGGTATACTAACATCAGTGTCCTTGCAGCACCCAATAGCACCAGCATCGAGACCATGACCGTCTGAAACCAAAACCACTGGGCCGCCATGTGCTTAGAATGCCTGAGCTCTGACTGCCAAAGCAAATCTTCTTCACCCAGCTCAAGGAAAACACTTGAACGAGAGGAGGACAAAGGAAGCAATTCAAAGATTCCCTGAGGGCATCTATCCAGAACTGCAACCTAAATGTCAACGCATGGGAGACCCTTGTTGAGAAGAAACCAACTTGAAGGCAGCTCCTTGTATGAAAAGACACAATTCTTCAAGAGCACCTGTCGGCAAGAAGTGTAGGAAAGGAAGCAGAGAAAGGAATGCCAGTGATTTCAAGGCCAAAGACCAATTCCACTGCCTGGAAACACCTGCCAAATGTATGGTGGGAGATATGGCTCTAGGAGCGGGCTCATCAGCTACATAAGGACCCACAGAACCCATGACCAGTGACACAGAATTTCCTAGGTGGACAATCTTACTGGTTAGCGAGAGATTGCTGATGACAAAATGCAAGAATGCCAAATTTGAAATGGCCACAACAATTTATACTAAAGAAGAAAAGGGTATTGATTTGTATGGCAAGTCAGTTCTGGATGAGATGTTGCCATCAACAAAACAGTGATGAAATATAGAATCCTCACGCTTCCAGATAAGTAAAAAGAGATGCAAGGCCTGAACGCATTACTTTAGCAGGGAGCAGGTCCTTGCATATGTCACTTCTTGTGCAAATGAGCCACATTACAAACTCAATTGATTATCTTAAGTTGGTTGTTACTGCAACCTTTAGTATACTCTTTAGTACACTTTCTCAATATGTCTCACTTTACAGCAATATTCAATTTCCGCACAAGTAAGTCGTAATAGACAATTCAGTTGAATACTGAGTGTAAAAGATTTTCTGAATTGAACAACTGTCCTAAATACACTGTTGACTATGCTATCTTGTAGTCTGTCATTTTTGTAAACTTTTATTCTGTATGTTCACTTGCTCTTACGTAGAAAGCACAGTAAGTATTTCATGAGAATGTCAGAAAATGAAGCAGAAGTTGAGCACACAACCCATTATGCCTCGTCCACAATTTAATATGGTCAAGGCTATTTAATATGATCAAGGCTATTATTGTATTCCAAATACACTTGACTGCCTACTCCCCATATTTGTCAATTCTCTGAAAGACCAAAAACTTCACATTGAAGATGATCTACAACTTGTGACTGATACTTAGGTGATTGCAGTTTGTGATTACTTTATTTTTTGTGCTCAGTAGGTTACCAGGAAATCCTAAACTCTACAATTAATAATGAAATCTTTCTTTCTTGCAGATTCCTTTTCATTTTGCTGGGACCGGTTGGCAAAGCTCAACAGTACCATGAGATTGGCAGGTCTATGGCCACTATAATGACTGATGAAGTAAGTTCCTGCTCAGAGCCCTCTTCCCCTTTTTCCACTCTTCCCCCTTCTCCACTCTTCCCCCACCACACCAGGCCTCCCTTTCAATCCCTGCCCCGTACTTACCTCCATCCTGGCTCCAGGACTGATTTGAAGGGCACTGCTCATGAGGGCACTGCTGAAACTACAGAGCAGTTGGCCAGTCAGATTGGCTGGCAGCTGTCTGAAGCAGAACTTCCTCCAGGGTGAGAGATAGAAACCTCACCTCCAGCTAATAAATACTTCACTGAGTATTAGTCCACCAGCCAGGATTAATATGACATCATTCAATTGCACATATTTTGAATATGTCAATATATCTCAACTTATTAAAAGCAAATACTGCAGGTGCTGGAAATCTGAAACAAAGGCAGAAAATGCTGGAGAAACTCACCAGGCCTGGTAGCATCTGTGGAGGGAGAAACAGAGTTAACATTTTGTGTCTGAAATGACTCTTCAGAGTGTTATGGACCAGACCAGACCTCCTCAAAATATTTTAAGTGGCCTAGACCCTAACTTTTTCTTACTTTAATGGTAGATGTGAAGAACGTGTTCCAGATGTGAAGCGACTGGTCAAGCTACTCGACATTAAGCAAACCACAATTTATTTAAACACAATAGTTAAAATACAAGTAAAAATACAAATTTAGAATATCTTAACTACTGAAAAACTTAACTGAATAATATATGCAGTGCCTATTACAAATTACCTGTTCCAAGAAAGTAATGTAGTGATTGGAACCAGCTGGATCTTGTTGACTATGAAATCTTTCATTGGGCCAATCAAGGAGCCCTGGCTGACCAATATAACCAGGAGATTAGAATCCCCTTAATCTAGGGGACTGACTTGGAGCTAGCTGGCCACAGCTGGTGTGCTATGCACAATTAAATAAAGGGTGGCTTGGTGATGGGATACTGACCTCTATGCAGTTACATCAAGGGCAATGGGAGAAAACAGGATGTGCCTGAAGAACATTTGCTTGCAACAGTCATCTTGGAGTTGGGGGTAAGCATTTCTGGCATCATGCCTTTATGTGGGAAGCTTGACTTGTTTGATCCTGCTGTTGAAGACTGGGCCCAGTATGTGAAAAAAATGCAATATCTCTTCCAGGCAAATGACATTGGACAGATGAAAAGCAATGAGTAATCCTTTTGATTACTTGCAGCAATTCCAGATATAAGGGGCCTAGCTTTCCCAGAGGCACCAGACCCTAACTCTTCATCAGAGTTGATGGAGTTGGTTAAGGAATATTATGACCCCAAACCACCACTAATTGTGAGACACTATTGCTTTTATTCGGCTGTTAGAGAGCCACAGGAATCTCTATTGGGATTTTTGGTGAGGTTATGATGACTGGCAGAGGCATGTGATTTTGTGTTGACCCTGAATGAGATGCTGAGAGACTGTTTGGTATGTGGGATTAATGATGTAACTATGCAGATATGCCTACTAGCTGAAGCCCAACTGGATTTCAAACATGCACTACTGTTGGTCTTGTCATTAGAAAATGCAGCAAGTGGAACATGGTAGCTACAGGGCATCCCAATGGAAGTGGACTCCCTCACCTGTCTGCCTGAGCTTGGGGATCACCACTCGAGTGTAGGCAATCGCAGAGACTCACACAGGGCACAGCCTGAGCAGAGAGACCCTAGGCCAGACCACAGCAGAACTCCACAACAAAGCCAGGATTTGGCCAAGTGGCCAAAACATTCTTCAGGATTTGGGCTGACAAGCCATTGTAGTTGCTGCTGGTATGCAGACTCTAGACAAAGGAGTCTTAAGACCTGACTTGAGTAAGAAGTCTCTTACTCCAGTACTCAGAGCGCAGACCCTGGAATGTCCCCCTGCATGTGGCTTGGAACAATTACATTGCTTAGCAACATCCAAATAAGAAGCAATTCTAAAATTAATGTTTGGTTAAATGGCCACCCAGTTCCCATGGAGGTCGATACTGGCACAGCTATATCTGTGGTTGCAGAATCTGTCTTTAACAACACTTACTCAGGACTCCAACCCTTAAGTTTGCACAAGACCTCAGCCAGACCGAGAACATACACTGGAGAACCGTTGAAGATTAAGGGTATGACTTTGGTTCCGGTCTCCTATGAGAAACAGTTGATGCAGTTACTACTGATGGTAGTAAAAGGCTCAGGCCCAAGCCTATTGGGGTGGAATTGGTTGAGAAAGATTCACCTTGATTGGCCCAATATTTTTTGATTAGAGAATGGCTGCCTTAGTGAAGTTCCCAGGAGTATTTCAAGAAGGGTTTGGAAGTATCAAAAGGGGCCAACGTCACCTTGCCTGTTGACCAGGAAGCAATTCTGAGATTTCGCAAGATGGCCTGGTGCCATTTGCCTTTCAGGCAAAAGTAGAGGTGGGAATCAGGAAGCTGGAGAGTGAAGGAATCAGCAAACCAGTGCAGTTTGCAGAATGGGTAGCATAGGTTGTACTGATTGTGAAGCCTGATGGCTCAGTTCACCTTTGTGGGGATTTGAATCAAACAGTAAACTGCTTCTCTCAACGAGATAAATACCCAATCTGTTGCACAGAGGACTTGCCAACAAAGTTGGCAGTGGGGTTGTCCTTTATGAAGCTGGATATGAGCTGCGCCTACCTGCAATTGTGACTGGATGAGGAATCCCAGAAGTACACTACAATTGATGCCCATAAGGGTGTATATCAATATACAAGACTGTCATGTGGGATATCATCCATTCCAGTCTGGTACACACCAGCTGTGTCTGAGTCTGAGCCAGAAGACTGGACCTGGGGCAAAAATGTTGCAAAAAAGCTAAGAGAAAGACCAGGCCTATAATCCCTGGACTTGGTGAGGTGGGGATGCAGT